GTCAAAACCGCTTTCGGAATCATTCATTCAGATTTGAATGATATGAAACATAATGAACACTTAATGAACACTAATATAGACGCTAATATTACTTTAACTTAAATTTAAAGTAATATTAGCGTCTATATTATTTCTTAAATTTATTAGAATTAAAAGTTATTAGAAATTCTGTTAAAAAATTCCATCGCCTACCTCGTGTGTTCATAAGGTCCCTTCATAATGGTGAGAAGGGTAGAGGAATCTCAAACGCAGTGAGGAGGCTCTCTGTTGAGGTTAGCGGGATTGGTCAGCAGCCATCCCTGCATTGCACGACTCCGTGGTTATAAGAGCCACTTTCGTGTTTAAAATAATACCGCATATAACATATATAAAACATTTAATGTGTTGTTCTTGGTAAACTCATGTAAAAAGAATTGGTAATTCAAAATTCTTTGGTTGAATTATTGTATATAAATCGTGTAATGGTCTCCTACGTGAGTGTGGTTGACGCAAAGTAGTCATTAAAGATAAGAAGAGAAGTTTCGCGATAAATCAGTAAAATGGAGAGAGTAACGTTCGGAATTACTAGAAAAATCACATAGACCGCCCATGTCCTTAGATTATATAATCTAAGGGGTGGTTGTTTTGAACTCTGAAAATATATCACAGTATTTTTAAAATCTTTTAAATTGACAAATAAAGAAATGCAACTTGGTTGGGTTTCTAACCACTTACACCATCGAAATATTTAATGACTTGGTAATAGTGTCCAAAATAGTAACAAGCGTCACTTTCTTTGGCTTGAACTATATATAACCAGCCAGACTAGTCCGGATCCTTTCATTACAGTAGCTGTTACAGGTGCTATTCAGATATGCCTACCTGTCAAAATTTTTATAGGCAATAAATATAAGAGGGTGAATACACCAAAGGCGTTTTACTTTTGATTGGTTTTATACCATTAAAAATTATAAAATAAAATATCCAAAACGTAAATTTATAAAATTTTCTCCATAGAACCAAATAAATAGTTACCGCTTAAATTCTCAATTAACGCTATTTCTTATTGTAATTATCTTTTATTGGGATAATTGATAAACACGTAAATCAATTTTTCATCCTTCGTCTATTACAGTCAATTACAACCTACATTCACAATCTTTCGTTCTACTCGAAACCGTTCAAAATGAACTATATAATACAATTATGTCTTTAAATTCGGACACAACAGTCGGGTGGGACAACATTTTCTCTAATATACTTAAAAATATGCTACTTCATTAAGAACTGTTTCCGCTTTGGTATTTTCCCCAGTGCTTTTAAAAAAACCGAGTGGGGATAAGGATTCCGGGTAATTATAGACCATTTCAAATCTTACTTCTCTATCAAAGGTACTTGAAAGGATATTAAATAAAAGATTCATCTATTACCTAGAGACTAATAAACTCATATTTGGATTTAGACGCAATATTTCAACATCTGATGCCGTACTTGTAAAGGCTTGCAAAGGCCTTTGATACCATTCCCATCCCCACCCTTTTACAAAAACTTCACAGAATCGGTGTACGTGGTATTCAACATAAATTATTTAGTAGAATATTTGCTAGAACGATTTCAAATGGTAAAAATAAACGATACTTACAGCGACTACCTTCCTGTAAACTACGGTATTCCATAAGGTAGTTATGCTAATTAGTAATGTAACTTATTCTGTGCGATGTAGGTTTCTTTGTTCTAAATGTCTTCTAGTTATTAATTTATGCTGTTTGTATTGGTGCAGCGCCATCTCGTTACTTGCTGTTGAAACTTATTGCAGTTCGTCTTGCTATCGATGGCTGTGACGATGCTAGTCTTCTCGCTATCGATTGTTGTGGCGATGTTACTGCGATGAATTAGATGTCGCTATGTATCAGTCGCCACAGTACTTTCCCCCTAGACCGAAGGTCGATCCATGTTGATAGTAGGTGGTATGCAGTCAGTGCTTCAGAGCTTGCAAGTGCCATGGTTGTGACGTCGGGACCGAAGCTGCTGGTGTGCAGGGCTGCCACGCCGGTGAGTTGTGTGTGAACTGAGGTCCGGTCGTGGGCTGCGAGGACCAGGTCGGAATGATGCCGTCATGTGGTGCCAAGAATCCAGGAAGCGCCGTTGATGCTGCTGTGATGGACCTTGGTGTTGGCTGGCTTGCTATCTTAGGCCCTATCCTATTTCTTGTTTTTATTAACGACCTCTGCAACTTAAAAACATAAAATGGTAAAGTCACCTCTTTTGCGCATGATACCGTACTCACGTTCGTTACTGAAAACTGGTCTGATACATTCAGCTTTGCCCAAAATGGATTTAATATCATAAATTCATGGCTAGTAAGCAATGCTCTTACCTTGAACGCATCAAAAACCAACTTTATTACTTTTCCATCCGAAGCGACACCTAACCCAAAACAACACCAACATTAACAGCGCACACTTGCTTATCTCAGAATCCCTATAAGTGTTCCTGCCCATATATCTAATCTATCTCAGTCACTAAATACCTTGGTGTCTATATTGATCAAAATTTAAACTTTAAACATCACATTAATGCTGTTAGTAGAGTTCGTAAATTAATATATATATTTAGAAAAATACGCTTCATTGCTTCACACTCCATTCTCAAAAATACATACTATGCTTTATGTCAAAGCACTATCACTTATTGCTTGGGGTGGAGCACTCAAAACCAACCTTTTACAATTGGAACAAGTTCAGCGTGCAGTATTAAAAGTTAGTAATTTTCGCCCCATACACTTCCCAACCAATGATCTGTATTTAGCTTGGAAAGTGTTAACCGTAAGACAATTATTCGTAATGAACACAATTCTATACGTATACGCCAGAACACTTTTTACATATTCTAATAAGAGAAGGAATTTTCATGTTTATCAAACACCTAAGATAAATTTTACATTTACAAAAAAAAATTATATGTTTCGGTCCATACTTATATAATAAAATCAATAAAATTATACAACATTACAATCTATCATATTCATGCTGTAAGAAATTAATCCATGGCTGGTTACTCGGAAGAACATATGAGGAAACGGAAAAACTTCTAACAGTTATATTCTGACATAATATTACACATATATACACATATTTGCACTCACTCACTCACACACACACATACACAAACTACTTGATTTTAAATGAACAATGTTGGTTAATAGATAAATTTGTAACTATCAATCATGATGTAATTATTATAACTTTAGATTTATCGTAACTTAGTGCAATCTGGTGCTCTTACTAAAGTGAACATAGGGAAAGGAACTGAATCCCTAAATACACATTATTTGTATAATCTATTAGGGTCAGTTGTGACTTATATCTTCTATAATAATTGCCTTATATGTATAACTAATTACATTAACACCTATTACTGAATACCAACTGTTCAATTGTATGTTTTACTATATTTTATTTTTGGCATAAATAAAGAATTATTATTATTATTAAACCGCGTCCCAGTTAGCTGCAGGCTGCGATGTTAGTGATAAAACTGTTTTAATCCACTTGAAGCAAATTGGAAAGATTAAAAAGCTTGAAACCTCACGAATTGAGTGAAGCAAACCGGCAAACGCGATTCGATTGCTGCGTTACATTACTTAACCGGCACAATAATGAAGGGTTTTTAAATGGAATTATTTCCTGAGATGAAAAGTGGATTGTCTACGATAATGGGAAGCGCTCATCGCAATGGTTGGACCCTGGCATGCCAGCCAAATCCTGCCTCAAGCGAAAATTGACCCCAATAAAGTTACTTGTAAGTGTTTGGTGGACTAGTGCCGGTGTCGTTCATTACAGTTTTCTCAAATCTGGCCAGACAATTACAGCAGACATCTATTGTCAGCAATTGCAAACCATGCTGGAAAAACTAGCTGTTAAAAAACCGAGGCTGGTCAATCGCTCTACGCCACTGCTACTTCACGACAACGCTAGACCCCACACTGCACAACAGACGGCTACCAAATTAGAAGAGCTTCAATTGGAATGTCTAAGACATCCACCGTACTACTCGGACCTTGCTCTAACAGATTACCATTTTTTCCAAATTTGTATAACTTCTTGCAAGGGAAAAAATTCAACACCGATGGGGTAGTGCAAATCGTCTTCAAAGATTTTATTGATTCCCGTCCGAATGGTTTTTTTAGTAAAGGGATCAATGAACTACCCATGAGATGGTGAAAGTGCATAGATAACAATGGCTTATAGTTTGATTTTATAAATATATTATATTAAAAAAAATCGTATCAAAATCATATCGTAAAAAAAAATAAAAAAAATAAGTTCCTCCCATACCAAACACCAATTTCATTTGTAGAACTTCCTACTAGATAAAACTTAGCTAAGTCTTTGTTTAATAATATGAATTTTGACTAATACGTAAATTTATTTCAATGCTAAACCTTGTTTATTAATAAAACTGCTTAAGTTTACATATTACGCTTACTAATAGCTAATTTATGCGTTATTCATATTATCTGGAATTTTCTTTTGTTGGTCTTCTTACAATGTCGATACAATACATCATTTAATAAATCATTCTCACGAAATAATATAGTGATAATAATCATAAAACTTATATTATTTTAAAACAATAACTTCATTCTATCTACATTTTTTTTTTAAATTTTAAGACGGAGGTCTCACTTCAAGTTTAGATTGATAGATGTCAAATGTGATTTTTTATAATGACACAATAGTACATACATGTTGATTTTTTATGTTATATTATAGCATCTTTTGATGAATTCCAAAGAAGCGTTGAAATATTGAATATTTTTAATGAATATAAAAAATATATTACTTTATACATGGATGGATGGGCTAGATCCCACTGATTGATACCAAAACAATAAACATAATGTCATTCATTGTCAGTTTCATAGTGTTTGTCAATTGCGATTTTCGATTTTTAGGAGAAACAAATACTTTTAAAAATAATTTTAGGAAAGAACAAGATAGTGGCATTAATTCTATAAAATGCCCACTATTGTGGAATATTGTTCCGAACATAGCGGTTATAGATGCGGATATTGCAATAGTGCCGATACTAATTTTAGTCATGGTATGTATGTGACTGTGTGTTTAAATCTAGACTAGTATTTTTGAACAGCTAACTATCTAGAATGAATCATTTTATTTATACATGACTAAATTTCCTTATAAAATTTTTATTCTATACCTATAATTATAGTAAGACATTGTAAAATAATAAATATATAAGGACAAATTTATCAATGTTTTAAAAAATGTTTAATTAAAAAATGTGCTTTGTTAGGCATGTGGGCACATACAATGACAGTCAAAGATTATCAAGATTTAATTGATCGTGGTTGGAGGCGGTCTGGCAAATATTGTTATAAACCTACAATGGATATTACATGTTGTCCTATGTATACAATAAGGTAAATATATGCACCAAGTAGCAAATATTTCATTAAGTAATTGTTTGGTTCTATCTATTAATTTGTTGAATTTATACTAAAGGTGCAGAATACAAGAATTTAAAGCAACAAAATCACAAAAGAAGATATTGAAACGTTTCAACAAATTCATGATAGGAAACGAGTCTGAAAGTTTAACAAATAGTGGACGGAAGATGTCCACATGTAGTGGTAACACTGATGAAGAAGAAGCACTAGAAGGAAGGGAATATTTTATGGAGAGTTCAAGAGTGCATCAGGCTATTGATGTCACTAATATTAATCATGAGCAGCTGCTAATAAATGAAAATGATCTAAAAATTGAGTCAACTGCTAGTATTGGTAAATCTTAACCCATTATTTTGTTAATAGGGTATTGGAAACCATGAAAAATTGTGGTTGTCCTATAAGATAATAGTGTATAAACACATATTTCACTTTATTTTAAACAAAATAATTTATAATTAAAATGTCAAAAAATACATATCATTTACTGTCAAAAAATATGATGTATCACACTAGTAAATATGCAATTCCTGTTAACTATTATAGTTTGATGAGGTTTGTTTATTTACTTGCATATGACATTATACCTGGTGTATGACACAAACAGTAATTTTTGTATGGTTTTGGATATTTAAACTTTAATTTTCATTGAAAAATACAGTAAATGTCCCCAAAATATTAATATAATGTGCTTATTATGTAATAACAAATTATTTTTCAAAATTTGTCAAATACCCTATTACTCCATTTATATGAAATTTGTTTATTTTTTATTATTAAAGAAAAATGTCATCAACATTTACATTAGCGATTGGTAACTTGTGATGGGTTCTCCAAAATTTATTAATGTGATTTTTCCTTATTTGTTTCCATCCATATGGAATGTCTATGCCCCAGCAGTAGGGACATTAATATGTTTATGATAATGTTTCTATTTACAACTGTCTATTCTTGGAAAAATAAATAAGAGTCAAAATATGTAATATATTTTCAGGTGAAACAACCCAAACTGATGTATCATATACTAAACTTGAACAAACTTTAACAAGGAACCAAAACGGTAAAGACACTTTTTGTTTCATATGGTTTTAAATAATGGAATAGGTTTCTTTACATAAAAATGATTTTATATGTGCTCTTATTTTTTTGATTTAGTATTAATACTTTTTATTGAACACCAACATAGATATTAGTTTATCATATATAATAAAACACACATGATGTAATTTACCATGTACTTAGGACCTGATTCATCCAAGCCTCCATGCAAAAAAGCAAAGCAATTGAGGATTGAGAGGAAATTACAAAAATTAAAAGAAAAGGGTATTGATGTGACCAGTGTGACAAAGCACTGTCAAAACAAGGAGAAGCAAGTGGAAGATTTCATAAATGAGTTACCAAAGGATGTTAAACATAAGTTAGAGGTTTGTGCTTCTAGTGTAACATTGCCTTTTTAGCAAATAGTGCAAGCCTTTGTTTTATTACTTATGGAACATGTATTATGCAAACCCTGATGCTAAGCAACTGATAAATTTATGTGGGATTCTTATCTGCCAGAAAACTCCACTAAATGGTTGTCCAAAGCTCAGCTATCTACATAATCGTACCCTCTTAGATTAGTAATAAAGTGGGTTTTTTCTGTAACTTGATACCCAGTCATATTGTGTGTCAAGACATACCTAATATAATTCTCATAAGAGATATATCCTTTAAACTTTCTTCAGGCAAACATCGGCTCCCCTTGAATTTAAATAGATGGTAATATAAGATAGTGAGACTTATAGTAACTATAGAAGTTTATCAATATTTTTTCAGATAAAATTAGTTCGCACTAATCCACCGAGTCCTGAATTTGTAGCCACCGCAAAAGAGACACATGAAGTTTATGTTAAATATCAAACTGTGATACATAATGACAAATTGGAAAAGTGTACTGAATCGAAATTTAGGGAGTTTTTGGTACACAGCCCATTAATAGTGAGTATTATTTACAATTGCAATTTCGACTTTCACAAGTGCTCTGTAAAAGCCTAAACTAAATAAACAATTTTGATTTTTGATTTTGCAATATGAATATTTTATATGGTTTTTTACTATCGTTATATGAAAAAGTTATCTTTGTTATTGGTACAAAAATATTTTAGTTACAGTGTAAGATTGAAACAGGAATTGGATACAAAATAATAATTTTCAGCTTCAGTCTTAGTTTTGGCCAACACAGAAAATTTAATCAATTAGAATTTATCAACTACTATTTGTATTATGTCACTTCAAAAAGTACAGACAATAATGGAAATTATTTGTTTTCGATGCGCATAACCACTTACAAAACAAAATTGTTTAAAAAAACAATCGACAATTCTTATATACCGACTTTCGGGTCATTCGAAGTTCTGGTTGTCTTTTGGATGAAACGGAAATTGTAGCTGATTCTTGATATCGCTATGCCGTAGTACATTGTAAAATTAGGAAGACCATGATTACCTTAATATTCATTAAACCTTATTTCTAATAATAAAATAACAAGATTGTATAAGACGACCAGTTTACACTGTGTAAACTGATCAAAACATCGGGAAATATAGGTAGGTGAAACACCTAATTAAAATATATCGCGTTAATACCCGTCTTATACAATCTATTATAATGCAACCCGAAAGTTTAAATATATTAACTATTAACAGGAAGAACACAGTGAAGCAGGCCCAACATGCGGTTACGGGTCTTTTCACCAGCAGTACTGGTTAGACGGAAGGATCATTGCGGTGGGCGTCATAGACATACTGCCGAAATGTGTCTCTTCTGTCTACTTCTTTTATGACCCAACTTATATGAATTTGACTTTAGGCACTTATGGAGCTTTAAGGTAAGAAACATCAAAATGATTGTTACTCTTAATTCTCTTTTTGTTTTAAAACTTTGACAAGAAAGAGGGTAGTCATAAAGTACTCTCTTAACATTCTTTAATTATCTTTTTCAGGGAGATTGAATTTACTAGGTATTTGAATAAAAACTCGCCTCAACTCCAGTATTACTACATGGGATATTATATACACTCTTGTAAGAAGATGAGGTACAAAGGCAACTTCACCCCATCAGACCTGCTATGTCCCGAAACCTACAAATGGTTTCCATTATCAGATTGCATTCAGAAATTAGAAGTGTCTCCATATTCTAGATTGGATCCTGATATAGACAGTATTGACGAGAACCTTCCTAATGAAAACGATTTGAATTATATACCTGTTTGGTATAAAGGTGTTGTTATGTTGTATAAAATCTATAAGAGAAAGTTGAACAAGAAAAATGAAGATTATAAAGAATTAATGGAGTATGCTCGGTTTGTTGGAAAGACTTCAATGAAAAGTATAATTTTGTTCAGGTCATAGTTTCTAAATTTAAATATTTACGATTCAATTATGGAAAAATTACACTGTGAAATTGTCACTGCCCTCCTCTTATTTTTATATTTAGGAATATTCAAAAGGTAAACTATTAATATTAATGAACATTTTATAGATTTGCGTTCAGTAGCAATTGAGAAAGTTAGGTTTAGCCTAAGTTTATCCTCATAATCATCTCATGTTGCTAACCTTCAATTTCTAGATGTCCTTTTACTTAACGCCACAATAGGAAACGGCGCAACGTAGTCTTTTAACGGCCTAAGTTACGCAGCACTGTCAATGCTGCGTAACCTTTAAATTGTTTATTTTAATTATTATTTCAATAAACTTTTCCGAGGATTAGGGTTTTTACTTAAGTTAATCTTCTTAAACCTAAGAAAATTCTTGCATTAATTTAGAAAGGTACTGACTCGATAGTATCTTCGAATTCGTGTTTATACTTAGAATTTTTTACATTGGATGATATTATTAATCATGTTTCAATATACATAATACTGGAAAACAATTTCTGCTATTTCTTTTGTGTTACTATTGTAATTGTGAAGTTCGATATAATTTGAATATGGTATTTTACTTTAGTAGTAAAATTGAAGGATTAAGAATTGAGATGAAAATGTGCCTTATTATATATTGTATTCCCACCTTATTGATCATCGTCCATTATGTTGGGTCACAAGATAAAGTTTTTGTCTTATTTTCTGTAGATGTTATGTTTAATAACCTATACTATTTTAATTTTAATAATATGATGTTGATGAGTTTGTTTGTTTAGTTGAACGCACTAATGTCAGGAATTATGGGCTCGAATTGAAAAAAAAATTGTATGTCCAGTAGGCCATTTATTGAGTAATTAAAAAAAATGTCACACAAACGAGAAAACCACGCGGGCGAAACCGCTGGCGAAAAGCTAGTACCAAACAAAAAAAAACTGGCTAAGTGCAAGTCAGACACACACATTATAAAATACATAGAAGTTAAACTAATGTGGTCATTGAAAGTTTGCTTTTTTTTTTTACAAAAAATTTTGTTTAGCGATTACTAAGAGAATCGAGTCGAACATGTTATATGTATTGTATAAATTGGGCTTTTCAATAATAAGACGCTGACTATTAACAGACGGGATATTAGTAGGCTGTGGGCGTTTTATATACTTATATTATATACTTATAATGGACGATAATCAGTAGGCCGATTCTGCTAATGTTATCGCATCTCAATAGAATCACAGTTAATTAGTTACTTAATTTTGCCAACGTATTATTATATATACCAGATCTATCGTACTACCAGTAGTACAAATTATTATAAAAGTATCAATCATCAGCCCTTTTACGTCCCCACTGCAGGGGCTCAGGCCTTCTTTATGGATGGTTCAGGAGGATGGGCCATGACCTTCCACGCTGGCCTAATGCGGATTGGAGGGTAATGAAGATTGTAAATGCAGCCAGGATCATCGGTTTTACGTGCCTTCCGAAGTACGGAGTAGCTCCAGATAATAATTTTTTGGTCACCCATCCCGTGACCGACCCTTGCGAAAGTTGCTTAACAACAAAGATCGCGGGCCGCGGCGCTTATTCGGAGGATCGCGGAGCTACTTCTACTATAAAAGTATCTGGCACCATTAATTTCTGAAGAAGACATAGCACTTAGAATATTGAACTTCAGGTAGCGATATTAAATTAGTTGATTTTAGTTGGTTCTGTACAACTGGCAAAATGAAAGTAGTTAATTCTATTGAGGTGCGATTGTTACGTAGACTGCAGAATCGGCCTAATTGTGATACCACAAGTATTAAGTTATTTCAATTATTCATTTGTAGTCGATAGTGTTTCCCGTTTCAGTATCCATTTGTTTTTTTGTTAATTTAAATAGTATACTGACTCTGATTAAAATTAATAGGGGAGGTGCGATATAATTGTACTTACATCGAATTGCTCTATATGTATTTGGCGATATTCGTTTGTACATTATAGGTAGATAAGGTTGCTTCTATTATACCTAAATATTTTTTCTATTGTGATACGGCATTCTCAAGGTCTTGATTTAAAAAGCCGTACGCAACTTTTCTCAAACACAAACCTTGAAATAATCTTGGCGCATAATATAATCAATTATTGTCCTACAAACTATTGTTTGTAGCTTCAGCGCAAAAGTGGTCTAACCCACAATTTTTTCATCTTCATACTTATCTATTTTCACATAGGTTTTATTAAGTTTAAATTTGAATAGATATAACTTTTTGCACTTGTAGCCTCAATCATGTATTATCCTTAAACCCATCTGGGTAGAAAGTTTCTATATTTTGCATTAAAAATGTAAATTATTAATTTTGTCGTATATTAACTAATTTCCTTGCATGCTTTTCATATTCTCTCTGGGACAAAGAATTGCACAAACTTGGTTTGTATTACTTTAAATATTATGTAACCAATTATTACTACAGATACTATAATAAATTATACTTATATTTACTAGTAATAAATAATGTAAATAATAAAGATGAACCCATGTTTGACGTTAGATACACTTGTTTGGTCGTTTTCATTTATTTAGTCTAAATATGCATACTTGTTTATTTGTGTAGTAGGTAATTTATTAAATAATATTCAATTAATGTGTTAATAAATTGAAATTCAATTTGTATCGTTTAATTTATTTCCGTCATCACTTACAATTGGCAGAGATCTAACACCAAGAAGAAGCTTACTTGTCAACCAGAAAAGTCTCACTTTTATCTAATCGAAGATAATCGAGACTGGCTAATAAATATATATACATAATATAAGATTATACATTATTTACATTGTGCACTAAGGTACTTATATTATGGATATCTGAAATAATGAAGGTGCCACAACGCCCAGACCTTAGGCCATACAGAAAGGTAATTTAATATAGTGACCCGAACAGTAACCACCTTAGGTACTGTGTCTCCCAATTCCCTGAATCCTGCGTACGAGCCACAAGACCATGGAAGCCGTCAAGTTTCTCTATGAGACTAGGTTCAATATCACTGATAGGGAACTGTTATTCCGTGGCATGCAGCACCTCAAAGATAAAGCAACCCCATAACAATTGAAATTTATTTTGACAGATGTGATAAAAGTTATCTCTTATGTTATTAGCAACTTTTTACTTTATTTTTGTTATCTCAAGTACCTATAATACCTAGGTTGCCAAAACACTAACACTTGCTAACACAACAATCTTTTTATTGATGCCCTACTTAAAATTGAAAGGATTCTAACAGAGGTATGGGCATTTAGTGTGAAAAATTATTATAAAACTAGCTGTTTTCCAGTGACTTCGCCGCGTTAATTAAAGCCAAATTCACCCCATGTATGATGCTGCTTCCCGTACGTGAGCGAAATTTTATACCGAGTGGTTTCGAAGTTTATTCATTAACAAACCAACAAACAATCAAATCTTTCCTCTTTTTGGTATTATAGATAGATATTCGATGTATGTGTTATAAGGGAATTTACATTACATTGTGGTTGATTCCTTGCGTTTTCTTGTCAATATTCTAGTGATTTTATTAATTTTAGTGTGTTTCAGACATTCGGTCCTAGACTGTATCAGAACAGGGGGCCAATTCTACTAAATAAATTTTGTTTAAATCGAATCGAACAATAATACAATTCCAGCTAAAATAGAACTGGAATTGTATCTTATGTCATTTTGTAGAATAGGAAAACCATTAAAAACTGTAGTTTCTTTCGGCTTCGATCCGTTTTCGATTCGATTTAAATAAAATTTATTTAGTAGAATTGGCCCCCAGGAGCCATTACGCTACCGCAAATTGTCAGTTTTTCAACTGATCTAAATAATTTGTTTTATTATCATAATAAGAACGTGTAAGTAAATATAAGACAACATCACATATATTGCTCATGCTCAGATTCCGATAAGTAGGTACCTAAAGTCCTCGTGTTATGAAGTACCTAACTGAGACAATTAAGATATCACAACACCCAGACCCGAGACTTCAGAGATGGCTTTCTGATGCTTTCTTGTTTAATTTAAAAATTTTCAGGAATTCGGTTGTTTTTTATAATTTATTTGTAATTTTATGATAAGATACGTATAATATACAATGATATTTTGGAAATGAACTAAGTACAAGTGTTTGTGGTAGGTCCAGGGATAGTTTTTAATGTATCAACACATTGGCAGGCGCTTCGTTGCTCTGCGATGTCATATCGTTAATATGATCGTGTAAATTAATTTACTTTAAGTTAAAAAAAAAGGTTTTATTATTGCGTGAACGCGTCAATGTTTATGAAAGTTATTACACATTTAATGTTAATCGAAATAACGTATTCTTTTGTTTTAATCTCGAATCCGGTTTCACATAATAATGGCTAATAATATTATGGTAAACTAAAAAAAAGGAATAAAAAAACCGGCCATGTATACGTTTAGGGACTGACTCAAAGACTTAAGCAATTTCCTGTCAGTCAAATAAACTATGGATTTCATTTTCCTTTTTTTTAAATGATTCATGATTTGGCGGTATTTATTTATTTAATCTTATTTGCCTAGTGAAATAGTCAAATGGCGGACTTAATGTCAAACAGGCATTCTCTACCAGTCAACCAGTAAATTTACCGGTAGGGGAGACCTAGGAGAGTTGTGACAATTTTTACATAAGGGGCTCTATCTCGCTTAAGAAACATTCCACAGTTATGACTCATGTGAATTAGTTTAGCGCCATTCCTTCTGTTTTCAAAACCATCACTAAAATTAATTAAAGTATAATAGTTTCTGAAAAAAATAACAAAATTCAAGTCCACTCCCCTTGTCACAACTCTCCTACCACCGAGGTAAGTTGTGACAGGTACCGAGGTAAGTTGTGACATCATTGTATTTAAGCTATAAGATATAAAAATACCATTACATACGACATAAATAAATCAAGCACGTTTTTTTTTATCAAATCAGTACTTTAATCAGTACTATAATAATAAATTTGACTTGGAAAACACACACTGAACATGTTTGCAAAAAGTTGTCCCAGTATTCTTGTGCACTGTACAAACTTAGTAGGATCGCGAATCAGTGCACGGTCCTTACAGCTTATCACGCGTACGTAGTTTCTACTGTTCGATACGGTTATATGTTATGATTATATTTTGGGGATATTCGACTGATTCTGTAACTGCCTTTAAAGCCCAGAAAAAATGTGTTAGGAGCATATTTTATTAAACTAAATATTATGACCCTGCCATCAATCTATATATTCGAAGTTGGTATTTTTGTCAAACAGGATCAACAACTATTTGAAAATAAGACGAGATTGCGTCATCGAGACAAATTGTGTACTATATCCTCTAAGACAGCTCAGTTGAACAAAAGTATCTTTTGTATGTCTCCAAAAATTTTTGATAAAATTCCAAAAAAAATACGTAATCTGGATAATTGTAATGTTTTTAAAAGAAAACTTTATAAATTATTAGTAGCTAAAACATATTATAGTGTAAACGAGTATCTAGCTGACAGTACTTTGTAAATGTATAAATACTTAATGAATTAGTTGAATTTTTGACATAACATGTTATTGATTAGATTAGTTGACAATTACTAACCTACAAATATTGTATGCTTTTTAGGCAGATCACGGTGTAACTATTCAGTCCTTGCATCCAATATCTTTATATAACCTGCGATCAACAATAAAGATTGATTTGATTTGATTAATCATCTTTTAATACCTACCAACTAAAACAACATAGTATTAATATTAATACTACAATAATATGATTGATCTCAAAGCGATACAATATTTAGTTAATGAAAATATTATAATTACTTGTTATGAGAATATTCTCATCAGTATAAAATCTTAATCTAATCAGATTCACATTTATGCCAAACGTAATGAAGTTCGTCCCCAGTACAATCTAACTGTGCCTAGCCTTTGCATTCCAGGCTTTGGACCCACTGATCATTCGATCTGCTGTCTGCATAGGCTTCAAGGCAAACCAAATAAAAGCAATTATTTTCTACATCTTCTTCATCACTTCTTCTATTCTTCTTATTAGTCTTCTTTGCTTTTTTAGGTTTCTTTTTTTTTCTTCGCTTAAGACACGCTTCTTAACATTCTTAGATTTTCAGTCTCTCGTGTATAGTTATTTGGTATTCTCAAAAAAATAAGTATGCGGTATGCCATTATACACCTTAAGTAGCTACTAACACACCAACAAACATCTAAAGTTAATAAAAAAAATGTAAAAATAGCCCAGCAGAAATTTGGAGTAAGTTAGGAGAGTTGTGACAGGCTGTCACAACTCTCCTAGGTGTTCAAAATGACGTCTTGGTCCGAATAATAATTCATATTTTCTAAACACGATGCGCATACAAAAAATCAGTGCCACGTATTGAGACTTAAATAACTACATAACTTAAGAAAAAATAACACATCAATGCACATATACTAAGATATGATATATATTCAAATAATATTTTAAAGAAAAACTTACTTTTCGTAATTTTTTGTACACTGACGATATATTTACGCAACTGTGCCACATGCATCGTCGACAGGTACTGAGTCGTGTAGCGCGTGTCGAGAACGACAAACAAGCGTTAATGCCATCTCGCTTACTATAATACGTAGAGAGAAATCCTCCTTGTCACAACTCACCTCTGTCACAACTCACCTAGGTCTCCCCTACATAGTTATCTATTTTTTCATTATTTATTTTATTTAGAAAGTGACTGTTTGTTACACATAATTAATTTTTAGGGTTCCGTACCTCTAAAGGAAAAACGGAACCCTTATAGGACTTTTTTATTCTTCCGATGTCTGTCAAGACCCTTTTTCTCAGAAACACACGGAGGTATCAAGCTGAAATTAATATCAAATACTCAGGTCTACTGGCTGTTGAAGCTGTGAAAAAAAACAAACGTCTGAAAAGAACAGCCGTTTATGTCACGGGAAAATAGCTACTATTATTTTATAAATACTATTTAAACAATAATTTCAATGGTACATATTGTACGAAATATACTTACATGGTAACCTTGTTTTCTGGTACTTGTAATTCATGTTAATCTTGATGGACATATTCGATTTAATGATAACAAAACTGGGTAGTTGACAGTCATCATATGTAAATAATACCGTGAATATAGCTATCAGTTTAAACTATACAAATGTCAGTTCAAAAAGGACCGTTATCAATGATAACTGATAACTGTCATTTTTGCAGTAAGTGTTTTGGTGCGTCAATGCACGAGAGAAAGGAGGAGGTTCTGTTTATATCGGTGTGTTACCTCGCTAATTCGATGCGATCGGATGATTGAGGCATGCAAAACCTCCATTCTCTACGATCAAACGCAGTCACATCAAGACAACCGCACGCGCAGCCCGCGGTGTCTGCGTATGTCAGTTCCGTGCGGATATTTTGTGTTGATTAAATACATGAAATCAATATGAAACTACATTTTAAAATATTTGGTGAGTAAAATCTGTTTAAGTTATTGAATAGTCGGGAGATACTCGTAACAAAGTTGGTTAAGGACGATTTCTTAGCGATAACAACAGAAAATAGTTAATATCTGCTATTAACTTTTTTGCTACCCATGGTATTTATTTCTTCTGCAAACAAGGCTAGGCTACTAAACTGCTTTAACTTGAAATTGTATTGAAAATATTAGAATATATTGCAATGATGATAGATTAAGGATTGGATTATATACATATAAAACCCGATAATGTTTCCTGCAAAACCTTTGGAATAAAAATGTATATAAAAAATCTATTTTAACACATATTTGTGTAAAAAAAATTACGTGGATTTATAACTAAGTAAGTACTTTTTGTGGATACGAAAAGGATCCTGATTTTTTTTGCAAATAGGCAAATAATTTTCAGTTAGTATAGATTATTTTATATTAGTAACATTAAAAGTTTGTTTCGATAATTCAATCGAAATTGCAATATGTCAAACTCACACTAAAGACGAATATCACAGTTGAAAGAAATAAAACAGTTATGAAATTGAACTCCGGGATAATATTTGCCAATACAAAAAACTGTTGTAACAATTTCAGTCAATCAGCCTTAATTTTTTGATAATAAATATGATATAACAATCTGTCGCAAGCCTCAAACAGAAGCTTACTATCTGTTAGTTGTAAATTAACATAACTTCAAAAAAGTTTCCCTTAGAATGTGACTTACACTGAAAAATGAGACAACAAAGTCAGTTCTTTTTGTTTTCTTTCTGTTAACAAATTCATTAAGAATAACATCATATTAAGTTATAAACACTTAACAATTTTCTCTAATTAATTTAACCCTTGACATGTCGCTAGCAGAGTCCAAAAGCAGTTGTGGAAATTTGACATTTTGTTTTAAGCTGACATGCTTCTGTGTGTACGTATATTAAGCCAACTTTGGCATATGATTGGATAAATTTAATATTCAATACACACCACATTGTCAAACATTTATTCAACTACAAGCGTTTCATAACTTTTATAAATGTAAGAAGGTTTTTTATACTTTTTCTATATAAGTTACTTTGCAGTTTCGACAGTTTATTTGAACATGACGTTGGTCACGGTAATAGAAACTTTAAGGTCGCGGCTAAAATCAATGATTAGTTTATTCATACTGTCGAACTCAATGTTAAGAGGGGGCATAAACTCAAAAGAATGTCAATGTTTATCTTATTACGTCCGGCAATGAGATAGACAGAGAATGGTAAATTTCACGACAAAAATAGTTTAAATCAATACTCGCATTCTGTTACGATTACCTATTGTTAAATTGCCTTATAATTCTCTAGATAACAATGTTATTCTATTTATCAATTTTTCCCTGTAAAAAGGAGTAAATATACCAAGAAATGGAAAGAATTTGTTTTATAAAAAACATAATAATATAAGGTATAATATTTTTTATCTGTATGACTCCAAAATAGATTATGTTGATAGGTTCGTAACAAACACGTCTAAACGTAAAACTTCAAAAAAAGGTAAGGCAAGTTACTTATTGTCACCATATACGATTTATGATTTTGACACCAATTATAACAATACACCATGGTAATTATAAGTTGTGAGTCATTTGTTTGAATATACATTGATTGCCATTAGAGGAAAGTAGCCAAATAAGAAATATAATGACTAATATGGAATATTGAATTTCCTTTCCAAATTATGCCTAATAGGGGAAAAATTGTGAATTGTGTATAAAATTGGGAAATTCACGACCGGTTTACGCTTTGGCTTGTAAAATTCAAAGCATATTAAAATTTATGTAAAGAACAGTTCAAAAAGTAATAAAAGTAGTTCATACCTATAGAAGAAAGCTAACATATACCTACACGCTTTCTTCTGTAGGTATGGGGTCGCTATAAATAAATAGATGTATGAGCCTTATTTTTCTTACTTTGTCCTAGTTTATATATGTAGCTGTTGTCCGACAACTTTGCACACGTAAATCATAGCCTATGTAAACCCCGTGTGTAGCTACACGTAGGTGAATTTTTTTTTTTTAAATTAGTCCAGTAGTTTACGAGCAAACAACAAATACAAACAATCAAATCTTTCCTTTTTATAATATAAGTATAGATAAAACCGTATGAAATGAAAAAAATAATAACTTAGTTTGTATCACTAATAGAACATTTCATTGATTGTGTAAGTAGAGTTACATAATCGATGTTGACATCAAACTACGTATTTGCACTATTAAAAATCTATTAAAGATCAATTTAACCAACGAAATCACATATAAATAATCTTTTTTCTTTGTAATATTAACATTTTTTATTCATAGATTTTATTTTCTATCCTCGCATAGACATTTTATATTATATAATTAAAGATGAGAGCATTTGTGTTATTAATTTTGATATCTACTGGTTTTATCTTGTATTCTTTCGTTGTGGTAATTTGAATGGGAATCACCTTGATTTTTCCTTATTTCGTTTATTTCGTCATAATATATAATATTACTTGTTTATAGTCGTATTTATATACCAAGAGTATACAAAGGCACAAATTTTGATGATAAAGAAAACTTATTTTTATTTTATTTTAATGATAAAATATAGGTATTCTTTCAAAACACAAAAAGAACCGTAAAAATTTAACCCCAAGAATCGTAAACTAATAAATTTATTGGATTGATCCGCCATTACTAGTTAAATAGGAGATAATGGTGTATGGCATTAAGTCCACTGTTAGTTTATTATAATAAAGATTAATTAAATAAAAAAAATGCGCATTGAAAATAATTATTAGGAAATCACCTTAATACTCATAATATTACAAAGCAAATAATTTCATATTAATTTAGTATCAGATATTTAGACGATGATTAATCAGTTTGAAAAACGAATTCGTTGGGACAAACTTTTTTTATTTTGCGAGTTCTATTTTCCGCCTATCGATAATAGAAGAAACCTGAACCGGTGTTGTGAATCACGGTATCTCATCTGTATCTTCATTTTATCTCGGTTTTAATCTCACATTACGACGCTATTATTTATTTATTATTATGCTCCTAGTCTTTGATTACGATAACGAAACGTTGTAATTATGTGGTATAAAAATTAATTACTCACACTCCGGTGTCGACCTTATTGAAGCATGAAAATTTTACATCATAGTATATTCCTCATTTTTATGAAAATAAATAGATTTGACTTAGTCTTTTTAATGTTAATAACAGATTTATCAGTTCAGATAGGTATGTATGTACAAAAGAAGTTAATCCGAAAAATTTAGAAATTCTTAAGATAAATATATAGTCTTTTAGTGATTTAGTTATCATATCACCATAGTTGCTAATATGTAAATTAAATAATAAATCTGTTTTTTATAAATGATTTTTATAATTGAAATGGTTCATAGCAATTTACTTCCATTCTAAGCACATGACCATTGTATGGAGTTCGTCCATACCTACCAGTGGCTAACCATCCATTCAACGTTTTGCAATTGTCACTGTGCCCGTCAACCTTGACAAATACGTTAAATGCATAGTTCCGATGTGGTTGTGGTGGATGTGGCATTACTGTGACTTGGAATTTATAAAACCACAATATGTAAGCTTGAGGCTGATATATCAGAAATTTTGTTATGAATTATCTCTAAACTATTTGCTATAGTTATATAGTAATGCTTATATCACTTGTTTAGAACGTGATATGATCGAAAATGTTAATTGAATTTGTACTGAAAATCAAAATTGTTTTTTATTTTTAATAAATTTATTTCATCAAAAACCATTATTATCTAAACATTGCTGCCATTTAATAGGAAGGTCATTAATGCCTTTGCGATAGAACTCTGAGGATCTAGACTGCACAAACTGTGTGAAAGCATTCTGTACTGCCTGTTAAGATCGATTCATGAGTCGGGACTGTTTAACTGATAGTTTTGCCAACATTGTTCGGTGCTCAGCACTATAGTGAATAACACCATGCTGAGACCAGCAAACAGTTACCATTACTTTTTTATTGGTAGGTAAGTTATGCTTTAGGACACTGTTGTGGCGTTTGATCATTGCATTTTTCTTTTACGGTTATCATAAAGAATCCACTTTTCATCACGTGTCACAATTCGATCCAATATTCCTTCATTTCTGTTCCGATTCAACAAGGCAATACAAGTTTCAACACGCGTTTCTTTCTGCAGATCAGTCAAATCAAATCATGCCGCTAATTTCTGGGTACTTTGACTAGTATCGGCTTTCCAGAAGTTACATCACGAAAGCGTTTAAACCAAAATCGCACAGTGCATTAATTAGCCGACCCATCTCCGAACGCAACATTGATATTGCGGGCTGTTTCTGCCGCGTTACTTCCTCGTCGAAACTCGTTTTCAAAAATCACTCGAATTTTCGCAGTATCCATCTTGTCTAAGTTGAATAACAAAAACAATTGAAAGTCGATATTCAAATATTTCACATTTTTTTAAAGAAGAACATTTCTATGAAGAAACCATGTGCAAAAAAGTGTTTTTCAAAAACCTCAAACCAGGAAGATTCTATGTCAATTCAAGGTACCTACTACGATAAATCGGCAATTTCATACTTTAACCCCTAATATTTATCTTATAGAAAAATACTTTTGTAATTTACCATTTACCTTTCGAGATTCAGGCGACTACTCTAACTCATCGAGCTACTCGAGAACTTAGCTTCAGAAAAAATAAAATGATATATGTATCTCTCTGACTTGAAATTTATTATACTCAGCGTCAATTTTATTGACATAGATCAATGAAAAAGCATAGTTTTAACATTACATCTTACATTTTGTCATGCGGCATAAATTTGAGCAAAGTAGGTTGCACCGTTAGTCCTTCCAAGTCATACAGGCTCTTTAAACAAATAGCATCTATAAAACAAATTGGTTTTTCGAATCAAAGTCTCTTAGCATCATGCATCTGCATCTCAGAATTTCAGAAAAGGGATGATTCATGGGTAAACAAAGAAATTTTACTTATTTTCTCAGCCAAATAATTGAAAAATATTAGACACCTATTTTTTTACTTTAATTTAATAAAAAATAGCTGGCACAAAAAGAGAATTATGGTTATTATTCAATTTCATGCCTCCGTATGCATGTTAAGTATATGTTGCATTTTTTTTATTTTGTTCCAGCTTTTTCAGTTGTTTTTCACGCAGGCTAGTTCTTTGTTTAATTTTAATAAAAATTATATTTGTATCTTTTTAGTTAAACAAATTAACAGGTTGTTTCAAAAGGTGAGAGAAGAAATACCATATTTTTAAACTTTGTCATTGTAATTTTTATTAGTATTACGGTAATAATAATCATGATATATCTTTTTAGAATCCAAAAAGGAATTTCTAGCCGTTTAATTTGATGATACCCATATTATAGTATTTGAAATAAACCTCAATTATGTAAATGAGGTTTGTTTCAAATACTGGTACCGTTCAGCGGTAGATATGAGGTAATTATAAATATTACATACATACAACAAGCTACGCGCGTAAAACGTAACCCTTGCAGTCGGATAAAAATAGTTTTTACACTATCCTTTTTCATCTTACGCCATTCATAGGGACAGACAATTGTCTTTTCAGCGAATCTTAAGTTACATATGTAGATATAGTTGGTAATAAGTGCAATGAACGCAAATCTGGACCTGGATGGGAGGTAATTAGCGCTCTTGCGCGGCGACGGCGCCGGTCGGGTCGTACACAGTCGCACAGCCTTGGCGTTGGCAACGGAGTCTTACTATTAATAATGGACCTGTAACCAGTACCATAATGAGTGAATTTAACTTTGTCAATAAAACTCCCTCAAAGGATAAAAGGTTTTTTGAAATTATGTCATCAAGTATATAAAAAATCCAATGCGATGTTATTGGTTTTCTAATCTAAAAGGATTTTTTTACACAAAATAAGTCAGGCAGACAAGAAATGCTTGCTGAATTTCCTCTCGTTGAATAATTGTTAATAAGCTGTCAAAAATCGCATTTCAATCGGTACGTCTCTATGTGAAATTTACATACTTGCACTTTCACCGCGATGCTGGCATCGGAAACTTCCAATGCAGGTATTCAATGCCGTTAGACACTCATGACAAACGACCGATCATTACAAATGTTAAGTTTAATCACATATTTTCTTGCAAAATAACCACTTTTTTGTTATATCGATACATACAATTTAATACTCGTAAAATTGTGATGTTGTCAAATTAATTTATGATTGTATTGAAAGGTACTTTAATCCATAGATAAATTTTATTCAGTTGTTTTGTTTGTTTTTAACGCGTTGATGTTCTTTTCACTGTCATGACCACTTTAATATAGAAGATACCCGCGATCCATATGATGTCTATTACCTTAATCAAAGATATATGTAATAGGTAAATATTCATGATTAAGTATGACCTCCAGAATCCAGTTTTGTTTCTTTTTTTACACAATAAATGTGATTGGAGGTCTTCCTAACGTTTCTGAGAAAAAATAGGTTTTGGGTGTTATTATCGTTATGGTTGCCTTCATCTTAGGTAAATAAAGTCATTGCCAATATACGTAGCTTCCCAATATTATTCTTTGAGGTCAAGGTCATGATGAAATCATAGTAAGTGCAAACTACGCAACACACCAACTTCGGCAAACTCGTTCGAAATCACGGCGTCAAGTTCCGTGATTATAATTAAAGATGCCTGATGGTCATATTCGATTCGCCGGACATCATTCCGATGTCAGATTGATTAATTTCACTTGCATCATGCCTTCTATGACTTACTGAACTAGTTTATACCTCTTAGATGTATACGCTTTCGCTTTGACTTGTTTTTGTTTTTTTATATATATATTTTATTAATAAATAGATTATTTTTTCAATAAGGTGTCCGTGATATTGACGTTATATTGGAAAGTTATCTTCCGCGAACCACTCGTTGCGAGGTCATGCATTCTGTGCGAACGAACTAGGCTATAAGTACTTATAGGCGTCTCGTTTAAAATAAACACGTGCTCCTAGTTCTTTGATTGGTGTGCGCTTTATTTACTATCTAGATCATCTTAGCGCTTTTAAGTTGTTCTTCCAATAGTAGATAATATGTATGATTCGTAGGACTCGTATAAAAGATTTGTTGGGTTCAAATGTAGGAATTCGTTTACGTCGTAAGGGATTAATAGAAAAAGGAAATGAATTGCAATCCCCACTCTAAACATTCTTATATTAGCAAATAATATCTTAATAATATTTTTTTATTATTCGTTATATAATTTTTTTTTGTATTAAGGGATCTAAAAAATATTTTTTATTATTATCTAATGGGATTGAGAATTTTCACATTGACACATGAATTAGAAAAAAAAACAGACAATAAATTATTTAATTGTTGTAATGTTCCTTTGATTGATTTATTACAGATGCGGTGCCCTCGCGGCTGGTGATCGGCATAATGATGTTCTTTGCGTGCTTCATAAACTATATGATGAGGGTCAACATGAGCGTCAACATCATCGCAATGGTCAATAACGAATCCAACTCTACATCGTAAGTATAGCTAATTGGGATTTTTTTAGTGTTTGATAATAGTGTTAGTTCCTTTAAATTTAAGCAAATGTATTTCCGGATAAAACCCAAGTCAGGTCAAGCATGGAGTGTAGGTACTGTGCGTATCTTCAAGTGCCTTTTGGATGCTTCATTTAGTTTGTTGCAACGTGCTGCACACATTATAGATAATTAGTGCGTGGTCCTATAGATAAAAACCTTCCCCTTGTCAACATGTCGATGAAAACCAAGATTAAAGATCTCGGTGTATAGACAGCGGGAAGCGACTTGTTTTATACTATGTATGGATGAAATGCTCACTAAACATCTTAAACCGTGGCAAATAAGACAAGATTTGCCTTATTCAGCGTTCTATTGTCTCTATCATGTTTAACGCTTTGAAAAAGTTATTGGACATAATTTCCTTCTTCTCCTTCCGTAACAAATGAACGTATATTGGTACTCGTAACCATTTTGTTTGTACTATGCCATCATAAAGCAGCAAATCAAATATTTGCCGCACCATTATAATGTGGCACAGTCTTCCGTGAAGAGGCTTTTTAGCAGGCCAGTAAGATTGTTTTATAAACATTGAATTTTGTTTTCCTCGTTGTAGAAGACAAAAAGTCTACGATATAAATAGGTACTTTTTGTGTTTTAAATATAATGACGTCAATCTAAAATGGCAAAGTTATCAAATCCTACATACTACGGCTGTATATCTTCATCGTAGCAAATTTCAATACCAGTTTATCACTATAACTGTTACCGAGGTCTTTAAATTCGCATGAACGTGACTACAGGGTCACATCTTTATGACTCCATGTCTGTAGTTTGAGTGCTACCTTTCAAGTTGAATAACAATGTTGTGTTATAGTAATATGCTTCAACTGCAATAAAGTATATTTGTATTGCCTTTCAGTTATCTGTTTCGTAGACTTACTATTTTATATTTACTACGACATACCTGCTTTATTCGAAGCTCACGCTTGATGAACTTCTGAGTTCAATGACCTAGAATCCTAAGATGATCTCATTACATTGTATTCTGCAAATGGTACACGGTGGTACATCGTCTTTTTTATTGTATCAACTCGACATATTGCAGATAGGCGTGCCTGTCAGAAACTGGTTCCAGTGACGAGGGCATCAGTTGCTAAAATAAAAAAGACACAAAAATAACTACTAAAACAAAAAATCTATATCTTCAGTGTGTAGTTACATTTATGAATTTGACTTCACGAGGCAAATGAAAACGATACAGAAGGCTATAAGTTTGGGGTATATTGGTATACGAGCATTTTTTATTTTAGATGTGAATGTGTTCTTCTTCTTACATATTTTTAAAGCGTTACATTTTAGTAGTCTGACATTAGTATTTGTAACTAGACATTATATAAAAAAATAAATTGATTGAGTTTCTGATCTTTTATGATAATGGGTTTAAAAAGTATTTTCGTAATTGTAATGTTATAAGTTAAATTCATGTTATAAATAATTATTGACGGGAATTCCGCCACGTGCACCTTGTTTTTAATGAAATCTCGATTATACTCGTATTTCAACTAAAATACTATGCTCTCATGATTACCAAAACAGGTATTACCTAATTGCTTCTGGTTTTCGCACATCTTAAGTTACGTTTTAAGATGTTTTGGTAAATAATTGACGTCATTGTATATATCAACTTAAGATTTGTCAGAAATTACAATGAAAATTTTCTAGTTTTGTTACTTTTATCCTTATTCTTTTTGCAATAAGAGTGATTGTGAAATGTAATAATATACATTTTAAAATTGACGGTATTTCGAAAAAATATCTGTTATGTTGACATGTTGACGTTCAAAATAAGATAAAACGATAATCTCGCGATTTTGATAATATAAACACCCAAGTTTAACTGATATATGTTTACGTTACATAACATTGATAAAATATTATATAACTTAATATGATTAGGTATTTATGAGAGTAGTTCAGAAACTACTCAGAGTACTTGTGTTCCATAAATCATTTATCAGAATGAATGATTTATGAAGCACTAGGAAGGTACATTTTTATATCGATTTTGTAAAGAACAATTATGTCAAAGAAATATTAACAATTATAACTATTAATATCTTTCTGATAAGGGCCCTGTATTCATAGTGTAGTTATTCTTTTTTGATTCAAATTGTAAATTATATTGAAATGACGTAGTCCACTTTAGTTGATTAATTTGTTACCTAATTTCCGTATCGGCAGATGAATGAAAATCTTGACACTCTCATATTTATTTTCCATTTCATAAGATAGCCAACCCCGTGAACCCCAGCGCATGGGGGGAGCGGACATGCGGAATGCATTTCTCAATGTCAAAAAAAAAAAAAGGTTATTTCTTAGCATAACCATCATCTTCATACGTAACATTGAATGAGAAAAATAATGTCGCAATAGAAGAAAATTAAGTGAAATATTGTTGGAGCACCATACCGTAAAAAAAAACATGAGTGGCAATGGCAATACACGTGATCGAATATATTCATTCAAAACGTATGGTTGGATACGCTGCGCCTCATGTGTGTCTAATCCTAGTTCATAGCATTGAGAGATTAACACAGCTTGTTATTATTACTCAGAAAGGCAAAATGTTTAATTCTAATAAATGCATTGTTGTATTAATAAACTCATAATACAACATTAACATACCTATATTTAATGAGTTTGTTAATAGTATTTTACTGATGATAAAATATCGTGTTACATAATTTAATATGGTTATATCTGTGGTTTCAGTGTGAAAACCGAGTGCGATGCCATTGCAACGGACGACAGCATTGTCTACAATGCGACCACATTACTTGTCATGAAAAAGCAGACCCGACAGGTATTTCAATCTACATATATCTATATTTTGAACAAGCTGTTTTCCTGAGTATTCACGCATGTAAGCCTATGTCATCCGCGTATAATTTAGCTACCTATAGGCGAAATATATTTTTAAATCAGTCCAGTAGTTTCGGAGCCTATTCGATGTAAACATATAAATACATATTTCTTCTTAGTAATATTAATATATATAATATCTTTTGTTTCTTTCATAATACAAGAGAATCATTTGTTTTCATAAGAGAATCGTAAAATAAATAAAAAGTATTTAGAAATAGTATTTATAAGTTATGAAGTAATAAGGGGTATTTATTTCGTGTGGCTTTTCTCAGAAGTTATATTGAGTTGAAGAATGCTACTAAGTATTTGTAAATGTGTTCCTCAACTAAAGTGTTAACTGTTTACAAAAATGATTAGTACTTACATATAGTGGAAACAATTGAAAAAGCACGTAAATTCCACACCTAAATTATGACACTTCAAGATTTTTTTATGATTTTACTGAATTTCAAGATCGAATGGGCAATAAATTTAAACTCCCGAATTTCGACTTCACATTAATAAGTTGAGTTACGGATTTGATAAATGTTTAGGTTTACAGTATTGGATTTAGAATAGACTAATATGAAATATTATTTTTAGTTAGTGCAGTTAGTGCTGCTAACTGTAGTTGTGAGAATATTTTCATTTAATTACTTATTACGTCTAATCGTAGCATCGAATATATTTCCATTACTATTACATCGGATTATATTTTGATTACTTCTGGGTGCTGCTTCTAAAAAAATAATTTACAATTTGCATTAATTTATGGAAATGTCTGTTTGCTGTTTATAACTAGATTTCTGTCCTTATTTATAGTGTGTTTATTTTTCGTACGTTACTGGCTCCCATTTATTAGCTCTAGTAGTAATGCCTAACGTTAAGTAGTGATCGCCCAGTGTCAAAATTCGTCAAAACGATACCTCGAATCGGTGCAACTGACTTTAGTGCGATTACTAAATTCTGACATTTACTATAACAATTTGAGTGTTTTTTAACATAATTATCAGAAAAATATAAGTATTCTGCACTCCTTCTTCATATTTTATTTTTCAAATTTCTTACTACTCCTTCCGCGTAATTTTCGTAAAAATACCCATAGGTACTACATTAAGCGCAACATGGACTCTTAATAGAAAAAGATATATAATACAGATAAAATGTTTGTTTATTTAATTTAATTAAAAATAAATGAATGAACACATTTTATGTTAAATGTATCAAGGTAGGACTTTAGATTGCAAGGTTATACGACAATTCGTCAAAGTCAAAGACGTTCACTTCACATGTCAAGATATGAAATTATTATTAATACCATAGTATATTCATTAGTATATTCTCATAGATTTAATAACAATGAGGAAGTATTTAAAAAAAAACGAAAGCACAAAAAAGCACCTCCACTAGAGACTCTAGCAAAAGTTGATTTTTGCAGGAAACGAATGGGCCTAAGACAGTCATTTCCGTTCTTTTTAACTAACATATTAAAAAACTGAAATTTGAAAAGTTTGAACCTTAGATATCAATACAAATACGAAAAAGTTCAAATAGAATATGAGTGATTTATTGAGTTTTGAAAACTAATTTACTTTTAAACATGAAAGAAAACCGGAAGGGTTGTCATGGAGAAATCAAGAACGTATCGTAGCGACATCTAGTTTAATTCCGGGAACTATTTTTTTTAAATACTTCCTCATTGTCTTTGATCTGATTTTTAATCAGTTGCTTACTTGTTAGAAAAAGCACATGTTACTAAGTATTTATTTATTAAGTTCTATAATAAAGACAAAATCTTATAAAACTATAATAAAGACAAAAAGCCAATTAAAAGTTCCCACCATTAGTAACATACTACTCTAAATATGTATACAATCACGCACACACACACACCAAGTCCCTAGCTATGACAAAATGGACAGTGAATGGTATATAGGTATTACATGGTACTTACAAATCGTTGATGAACATACTGCTTAAAATAGGCCTAGTTGAAACTTCGCTAGTGTCGAAGAGATCTTAGTTTGCCTGCCTTGATTGGTCATTGAAATTGTTAAGAGCTCGCCAGAGATTTGAATTCTGTCTATAATTGGTAGAAACGGGAGGGATATATAAAAGAGGATTGAATCTGAGGGGCTTTGTTGGGGTTCTAAGAAAAATTTTAGAAACTAATTCAGGATAATCAATTACACCTGATGCAATTTTCATTAAATATAAAACGTCTGCAATCTCACGACGCTTTTCCAATGGGAGTAGATAATATTTTTTGCAAAGATCCATATAACGGCTCGAGTTATAACGATCCTTAGTACGAAAACGGTGATATCCCAAAAATCTCAAAGACTCAATGCGCATTATATATGGCGCATTGCATCTAGGATTCCAGATTTGCGATGCATACTCAAGATGACTACGGACAAATGTACAATAAAATATTTTCAGTGTCTTTGCTTTGATGAAATCCCCAGAGTTACGCAAACAAATCCAAGAGCTTTTGAGACCTTAGAAATAATATTATCAACATGCCTTTCAAAAATAAGCTTATTATCATGGAGCACTCCCAGGTCCTTTCAAAAATAAGCTTATTATCATGGATTACCCTCCAATCCGCATTGGGCCAGCGTGAAGGGTCATGGCCCATCCTCCTTAACCATCCATAAGGAAGGCCTGAGCCCCTGCAGTGGGGACGTAAAAGGGCTGGTGATGACTCCCAGGTCCCTGCAACAGTCGCCCGACGTAACTTAGTGTATTTTTAACGTGTAGTCGAAGTGAACTAATTCGTGCTTACCTTCATAATATGTATACAGGTATTTAAGTAGTAAAAGAAATTTTGTGATTATTTTAATTTATATTACAGTTCATTATACTTATAAGCATATTGTAAAAGTTGAGCAAATATAATTTATGTATTCAAATGTTATTTGGATATTAGTAATTTGTTTGGAGCAACCATTCTTCTAAAAATTTATAATAACCTATTAACCTACTCTGAAAATAAATATTTATATAGGTGCATAGTAATTCAAATAAATATATAACTAAATGAAACAACTTTTAAACGGTTTCATCGCGTTTGTATTTATTTTTAAAACTAAATAAAAACGCCATGATGAAATAAAAGTTGTTTCATTTATGGATAATATAAAATATAAGAAATCAATAAATATATTACTTTTAGTAAATATTTTGAAGATGAGAACTAATAATGCGTTAACCACGGTTTCGATTTATCAGTTCCAAATCTTTGTTATTTTAATTTCTTTCATTGTCAATAAAGAATAAACAAATTAAACATTTAACTGACTATAAAAACCATCGTAGCCTATCAATTTGATCGACATCAGTGAATCGATCGACAACATGATTGATATGTTACGGACAAGAACTTACAATTGATAAAAGAAGTGCTTAGTTCATTATAATCCTTCTTAAAGAAATTATTATGTTTGTACGCAATACCATAAAATTAAATGCATCTTATATAATTAAAATCAACGTTAAGCTTGTTAGTTATAGAGTTTTCAAATGTTTCTTATTTCCCTCAGCCTGATGGTGTTGTGGTGTTCGATTGGACAGCGCAACAGCAAGCCTATGTCCTATCGGGATACTTTTGGGGCTACGCCGTAACTTGTCTAGTAGGGGGTACGGCTGCAGAAATGTGGGGACCAAGACGTGTTATATTCATCACGACGATCCTTAGCGGCATCCTCACTATTCTGTGCCCACTAGCCGCCAGGTGGCATTACATGGTGCTGGTAGCAGTTAGGCTTGTCACAGGATTGTTATCGGTATGTAGTTTGATTTTGTATGTCAATACCTCTATTAGTTAGTTTTATTAAATATTAGTTTTATTAATCATATTACAGTAAAATGATGTTTGAACAATTTGCGTTCTAGTTTATAAAATGTAGCATGCAGCGAATGGACTTGATTTCGTTATTAAAATACGAAATACTACTATGATGCTTACTATCCAGGTAGATGTTAGTTAGACCAACGTTTATTTCTCTCTCTCCCTTAGGATAGAAAAACGTGGTTCATTTTTTCCCTTTGCAGACTTGTTTAGACGCAAAACCAATGACAAAGAAAAAAATTTAAATTAAACAACAGTACTATATCATTTGATTGGATATTGCGTTCTCAATCCTGTAAATAACCAAGATTAACACCATAACAATAGTATACTAATTAGGATATTATATTTATTTTATTATGAACTATAGAATAATGCTAAAACATATACAAAATTGACACCAATATCTGTGATTAAAACTTTAATTGAATAAATAAAGTTTGATATATAAATAATTAATTCTGGTACTAGTTCAAAGGAAGTTTGAAAAAGTGTATTTTCTATGTTAACTCAGTTTGAGTGGTAGATTGAATACGACTAACAATGGATTGACTAAATTTAAATTTATTTCAATATTTGCTTAGTAACAATATTTGTTCTTTTCATATAGAAACTAAGTTCTTTCAGTTGAATGTTTTGTATGATTTACACAAAATATTTAATTAGATTTGTTTGTAGCGAAACAGACTCATTTGAAATTATCTTACTGGAAATAATATAGAAAAAATTAACCTTTTAAATGTCCGCGTGCTTAACTAATGACTATATGTGCTGCTCTTATCAGCACGTATTTTAAATATCTTAACATATAGGTATACAATGTTTTTATTGTAAACTAAAACAATTAAATGACAATGTATGAGAACTATGAGAAGACATATCAATATGTATATTAAATAAGTGTGTTTTATAGAATATCTGTTTTAATTTAAATGAATTTTGTCATATTTTTAATGAAAAATGCTTAAAAACACACCAGCCCTTCTCTCGTCTTTTAAACATTTTTCATTTTTAATTAACGTTATTTATAAGTATGGTATTGTGAACGTAAAATTGTTTAAAACATAATAATAAGAAAAACATTAAAATCATCTTAATGATAAATTTATAAAGCTATTTATATATAGATTGTGTGTTCGTGTCCTATCTCGGGGTACTAGGTAGTTGGCTGGTAATCTAAATGCAAAAATGATCACACATAATAATATTAATTCTGTTTTTAAAAAAATAATAATGGCAACAACCTAGATTGTAGATAATAGAGGGATTGAAAATCATTTGATATATAATAAATTGATCTGGAAAGGCTTGTTACGGGTAACGGAGATGGCCATACTTGATGTACCTACTCGATTACTGAAGATATTGGATTTTTTTCAGGGTTTCCTCTTTCCGGCGTTACACGCACTGTTGGCTCACTGGTCGCCACCAGTAGAGAAGGGCAAGTTTGTGAGTTCACTGCTGGGCGGTGCTATCGGGACTGTGGTCACATGGTCACTCACCGGACCACTAATTGAGAATTTCGGATGGGATTACGCGTTCTATGTGCCAGGTAACTTTAAATTAGCCATATCATGTTTATCCATTCCTTGTGTTTATGCCTGTTTTTAATTTCGTTGCGTTAATTAGTTATGGTAAGATTATTACAGTTATCATTAATTCGAATAAAATAAATGCTGATTCAGCGTAGCTTTTGGATTAGCAATAGGAATATGTACACCTAATAGACGAAGAAGTATTTATTTATTATTATTATGCGAAAACAAAACGCGCTTTCCTCTACTTCTATTTAAATTCCAATAAGGACTTACATTTGATTTCTAGTCTTACGGGCGTGAGGTGCATACAATGTCTAGGAAATATATATCATTAGAACTGGTCACATAGACTTCGACATATTTTAATGCTCATCGACATTTTTATCAACAGTGATGTTACATGTAATTGAAAATAATCTTTTCAAGAAGAATGTGCAACAGTCATTATTTCTTAAAGAAAACTATAATAAGAGTTTTTTTTATTTTTAGGTATTATTACTCTGGTTTGGTGTTTTGCCTGGCTTTTTTTAGTCTATGACTCTCCCGTACAACATCCTCGTATTCTAGAGAGCGAGAAGAAATATATTTTAGAAGCAATTGGGGACAAAGTTCAACAGACCAGTCATGACAAGAAGGTAATTTCATTTCATTCTTAAAAAAATCAATCAAACCTGGCACTCTGAGACGAGACAATGTGGATTTTTTAAACATTTTTAATTGACATTATTTGTAACCGGACAAAATCCAATAAATAGTGAAGGAGGTATAACCGCAAAAAATATGAAAGTTAAAATGTTAAACTAAATATTTAGAAATATGTAGATAAATATAAATAATACTCAACCACCGTACTTTATTTAACTTTACAGATTGTTCCTCCGTTCCGGAAAATCTTGACATCTTTGCCATTCTTGGCCATGATTATTCTCCATTATGGAAATAATTGGGGACTATACTTTGTGATGACAGCGGCGCCTAAGTTTGTGTCCAGTGCTCTTGGTTTCAATCTCACATCCACTGGCACATTGTCTTCTCTGCCTTATTTGGCTAGGATGATATTTTCGGTGATATTCGGAGCTATTGGCGATAGGTACGTTACGATATTTTTATCTTTATAATATTACGCGTACATCATTCTTGGGATCAATAGAATACGAAATAAAATGGTCAGTACCTAATATTGGTTAATTGAACTTTGAATAACGCTCTGCTTTATTTTTATTAGCTTATTGACACTGCTACCTTTTAAATAAGTGATCGTTCTGTTACAGAATAATAAAGCAAAGTGTGGTATCTACAACGTTCATGAGGAAGTTCTTCTGTTTGTTCTCTCACGTGGTGCCCGGTCTGCTTTTGATTGCCCTGGGCTACACTGGCTGCGCACCTGTCCTCTCTATCGCTCTTATCACGTTCTCAATGGGGTCAAATGGAGCAGCTACACTTACCAATTTGGTGAACCATCAAGACTTGGCCCCTAACTTCGCTGGCACATTGTATGGTATCGCGAATGGAATCGGAAATACAGCTGGTTTCGTCACGCCGCTAGTAACAGCACACTTTACGAAAAATGGAGTAAGTAGTGCTACATGCGAACGTTTATTAAATATTAATTTATGGTGACTCATAATACATATATACAACTAAAAGAAGAAATACAAACGAAAATTTAATGTAACGTAGTAGTAGTAATGTTACAAAAAAAATATGTTTTTAATTTTCACTTTCAGAACGGCTTTGCTGAGTGGCGACCTGTCTTCATAACCGGTGCTTCAATATATATAGCATCCGCAATTTATTTCATTATATTTGGCACTACGGAGACACAGGAGTGGAACTATGTAGAGCCAGTTGATGACACTGAAGCAAACAAGAGGCCGAGTGAAAACTCTAATGACACTACTGTTACAATTCCAGTAAAATCGTAAATTCCTAGAATAATTTACTTTAAGTTTTGTATTTTAAGCTCAAGAATAAGTTCGATTTATGGAATTTTAATACATGACTAAAGATAATCTTTATCTTGCCAAATGATAGCATGTTTTTTTAGTTTGAAACTGTCTCGATTCTTACCCTTCACTTATTTAAAATAAAACAAATTATTATTGATATGTGCTATGCTGAACTTGCTATATTTAAGTGATGATGTTATCAAATGACTTGCTTTAAATGTAATTATGACAGAAAACGAATTCCTAATCAACATAGCCACCAAGCCATGTTGATTTGGAAACGAGTAACTTTAAAATATGCTTAATTTGATTCTTAAAATGTCACGACTAAGATTTTATAACATATCAAAATTACCTTGAGATGGTGCTTATTAACTTAATCGTTTTTCTTTTATGATATTGAGTGACATAAATATGAATTTGGAATTAGCGAAAGTTGTCAATTGTCGAAATTTAGCTTAAATTAATTAACCTTTCACTTCTCGCTATAGGTATTCTATTGAGACAGTATTATTTTTATTTAGGTAAATAATAGGTAAACCTATTCATTTCCAGTTTTTTGAATAGTATACTAATTGTTCTAGATTTATTTGATATGTCTAATTACACAACGATGCAATTAGAAAGTAAATATAAAGTGTTATGGATTTCATTCATTCGTTGTTTCGTAATATGTTCATGAATTAATTAGTGTGGAAATAGACAAAAGCCACAAAGTTGTTGATTGGAACTATACTCAGCGAGATATAATCTGTTTATAAAATTACGTACAATAGAGCAGGAATCATTTTTTGTAAATAATTCTTGCGCAGCAAAATTGTAGAATAAGTTCTAACCAAACGAATTTAACATTCTACTGATATGATATAATGTGGTTATAAGTATTTGCAACTGTTTTTATCAATTACATTATTAATAAATTTCATTGAATTTATTCTATTGTAGTAAACCTACATGATATTATATTCTGTAAGTATATTTATGTTTTTGATACTACGAAAATAGAGCGAAATTACTATATGCATACAAAATTACGGTGATCTCCTTTCCCTGTTATAAAAAATGTTAATGATTTTTCTTTGAATTGAGATACATCTATCGTTATTATCGTATCGCGGAATCTTCGAGGCAATAGGCAACATGCTATCGCCTCGAAGATTCCGCGGCATGTCACGCTATCCTTCTCACTCTAATAAATGACTGTTTTGAGCGACTGAAAAGGATAGGGTGACGGAAAAAGCGATACCGCTGCCAGATGAATATTAAGTTTTATTCAGAAAATGATCGCGATTAATTCATAATTATTCTGTAATGGTACTGTTGGCTCACACACAAACACTCAAACAAAGAATAAAATATATCGTCGTTTTAATATAATTAAAGATTGACATTACATTATTTATCGTTTAACATTTTACATAATTTAATTAATTGATGTATTTGAGACTGTGATAATTTCGTGCGTGTATAAATTAAATGATTCACATTAAATTAAGTTTTTTATTTTAAATATTATGATTTTACTAATAATAATTAATAATGCAAATCGCAGAAGCTTGCAGAGGGTTTCGAAAATGTGTATAGGCGCCGAGTTTCTTAAGTACGTAACATCACGTTACAAAGTCAATTTTACCTTGCGGTTATGCAGTTAATTTCAAGAACCTGTAAGTCATTGTACCTATTTTAAATTATGGTCTAATGGTGTAATAAACGTACTTTGCTCAGCAAACCTTTAAGGGCTTATTTGTTTAATTTTAGTTTCTTGTAATTTGACTTTTGGAAAATATTCACGAACTTCACACTACAATTATTTGATATGTTATAGCGACGCCAATCGCGACGTTTCTTTTAAAAAATGCTCGCTATCGTTAGTTGGTATTTTCTAAAGCAAGCGATAGACGCCAATATTACTTTGAAAGCTCTCTGCAATCTTACGACGGGTTTAGTTAAATTTTTATTATGTTTTTAGATAATTCAAATCTTTATTTGTTCCGTAAGCGGCTTCTAGCATTAAAATTTGAGAAAGTCTTGTACAAAATTCCGTCCGGGGGTTTTATCTTCTATCACTTTAACTAGGTTTAAGAAATAAAATTACCAAGTTTTAGAATTTTTCTATTTTGTCTGTGTATAATACAAGCTTGAATACCAAATTGCAACTTTATAATATTATCAGTCTTAAAACACAGAAAAAAAGATATCTATATCAAATCAAATAAGAAATTAAGTGGGACTCGATTAAATCATGTTCACCTTCTTGATTTACCAGATACAATAAAACATAAAACTGTACTATTTGCTGAGACATTTCTTGAATAATAACAACTGACAAAAACTCTTCTTAGGTCCAAGATAAAAATGACATAATTTATACCTTAAAATCAATAAATGAATGGACATACATTAATAACTTAGAAATTAATCTATCGAAAACTAATTTAATCAATTTCAATAATTTTAAATCCCAATCGTTTGATATAGTTTTTAATGGACAAATTCTTCGGCACATAACAAGTGTTACATTTTTAAGATTAATAGTAACATTGTCCTGGAAAGAACAATAGATTAGATATCCAATAAGGTAAATGAGTTTGCTTATGCATTGTATAAACTAACCAAAGTTGTAAATACTGTTATTACAGCCTATTTTATGTACGTGGAATCAATTTGAAGGTACGGCTTTATTATTTGGGGTAATCGTGCTAATATAACAAGCTTACTGATTGCTCAAAAACGCTATATTAGAGCTATATGCAACTTAATATCAGATATATCTTGTATTTTTTATTTCTCTAAAAATATTACCAATGCCCTGTCTTTATATGTTAGAAGTGGAAATGTTTGTAAAGAAAAATGAAAAATTGTTCATACGATCGAGAAATGTAACTGAAAGAAGTTTGAGAAACCCGAACAAACTAGTACATATATCAATCTCCAAAACAAAAAAAAAAAAAAAACTAGTCACTTAATATGTAAAACTTTCTTTAGTAAAATACCTAATAACATTAAAGATTTAACGGCTACTCTTTTTAAAATTTTATTGCCTAGATGGCTGATTGAAAAAGTTTTCTATTCGATTGATGAGTTGCTAAACAAAAGATAGTTTATCAGTAATCAAAGCATGAAATAGTCAACAAAAGATATTAAAAATAAATTACATATTTGCATCTGACATATTTATCTTGTTTCTTAAACTGAATTCCTTGACATCTATCTATCTAAATATATATAACTCAAAGGTGACTGACTGACATAGTGATCCATCAACGCACAGTCCTAACCACTGGATGATTGGGCTGAAATTTGGCATGTAGGTAAATATTATGACGTAAACATCCGCTAAGAAAGGATTTTGATCAATTCTACCCCCAAGGGGATAAAATAGGGGATGAAAGATGGTCATTTTTAAACCGATCGGGCTGAGACCTTGCGTGCATAAAGCTACTATGACGTAGGCATTACCTAAGAAAGGATTTTGATTAATTCTACCCCTAAAGGGGTAAATAGGGGATAAAAGTTGTATGAAACTTTGTAAATTTTAAACCAATCGGGCTGAGAATTTGCATGCATAAAGCTACTATGACGTAGGTATCCCTTAAGAAAGGATTTTGATAAATTCCACCACTAAGGGGATAAAATATGGGATGGGACTTTATTTCATGTATTTTACACGATATAATGAATAAATATTTATTAGAAATGCTGCTCAAAGTAACTTTACCACGCGGACGGAGTCGCGGGCAAAAGCTAGTGTTCAATAATTTTTTTTTGACCAATTTAATAATATTGTAATGATAACTTATTAAATTGCAAGTGTTGAAATAATTATTATATAGCATGCAAAGTACGATGGCATTTACCAGATGTTATTGAATTAATTCCAAAAAACATCTATGTACTGTGATATATAATGTTTAAATAGCTTAAACTTTGTATTCCGGATTTCCAGGATAAATATTAAGTAGTAATACCAATAATACCAGCCATGTAGCTAGTACTAAATAAAAGAAAAGTTTCATCATTAAAAATGGTTTAATATATTTAGTACATTTAGGTACATTATTATACATTATATACAGAGGCAAATTTATCTTATACTTTAATATAATATTTTAATCTTATAACAATTAAATGACACATAAAAGTCTGTTTATTTCTGAATACAAATAATATCAATTACGTTAATTCATTATTAAAAATCGATTGGCGACGTTAATTATAAAAACAAACTTCTAGTAATCAAACTCTCATTGAAACATCAATTTCTATAATATCATTTAAGTTTGAAACTACATATTCTTACCTCTTTGGAATAACATCACCAAAACAACTCTGGTTATGGTCACACATTTTAAACATTCAGGCGGGATTCACAAGACAATCTAGACAAGATCAACTTTTAACGCTCACAAAGCGTTCTAAAATAAAACAATATATTAAATGTATACATATGACGAATCGAATCATTACAATTACGTAAATCAACTTCAAATGAGAACAAAATGAGTCCTAACCCAAACGGGTATGTGATGATTTTCGAATTATCTTTAACGACACTGTTTTTAAAATTAAACGAAAAAGCGAAATTAACTTTTCCGTACCAATCCTATTTAGGGAATGCAATGCCGGGATACCAGATTTGAATATCGGGACTGTTTATGAAATGTGTAGGACTAATATTGCGCGAGATTTGGCGGGATTGAAATAATTTCTGTAACACCTCAATCTAAATCTGGCTATTATAACAGTCTTCAGGTTTTGATAAAGAAGGAAATGATCAATTTTAAGGTCAGATGTACTAAAAGCACAAACCTTCAGTTAGTCTACAACACCCTAGGGGGGCGCATAAACCAAATCACTAGGTTTACAAGAGCAAATTGAACATAAAATAAATAAGTCCAAGTCAATTGAAAATAATTAAAAATGAGAAAATTACGTCATATGTTTAAGTGAAGTAGGTAGTTGGACCAAAAAGAGAATTTATAAAATTTTCTCTACAAAAAATAGCATGTTGCGTTTATAGTTAAAGATATTTATAATCAAAATATTTACCTGTAATCCTTTTTTCATAGTGAAAATTAAAAAATACGTGAGTAATTTTGTTGCTGAGGTCTGTTATATATATATAAGATATTGAGGGATCCTATAATAATCGCAATGGTTTATAGAAAATAATTAAAATTCGTTATTGAAAATTTAAGAAATAAATAATTCTAAATTTATTTTCATAAATTATTTTTGATAATTTATCGTAAAACTCTTTGAGCTTTTACCGTTGCCGCATGAAACAATAAATATTTTTGCTAAACTACCTAAAAATAATATCGTCTAGTATTATAGACTATTAATTAATAGTAATTGTTTTTGCAGGACTTTATTAAAAAACAAAGGGTTCTTATATATGATTTCATTGCTTTAGTTTCTTCAATATTGAACTTTTTCATAACTTAGTCACAAAGTCAATCTGACCATGCAAGATCCAGCATAAACCTGGTTCCTGCGTGATGGACAAAGTCGAGTCCTGCAAATACCAGAATTAAATTGTCTTACGGGATTGCATTCCCTAATTTTATTAAAGCATTCACACGTAAGATTCTGATTCCGTGTCAGATTCAGAACCATCTAAAGCTATGCCATTTTGCGTTTTGTTAGAACCATTGATCGAATAGAGACGCGGCACAGATTTGGAACGTGTCGTCTTGTCCTCTTTGTTCACATGAACTGGTTGGAACTTTTTTAAAACTCGTTGGTAGATCATTTTTCGTGGTGGAACAGGTGGAGGCATATGCGGTGGTTTTTTATTATTATTCTGTTCCTCCGTCTTGTGATACTCTGGTTGTACGGCAGTTGGTGTTGCTTTATAAATATCGGAGGAGAACATGTTGTATTTATCTTCGTGGAATATATCCCTTGTGCGGTTGTAGACAGAGGTGTACAGTGGTTCGATGTATTGAGTCGTATAACAGTTCTCGAACGAATTCTCACTGGCCGGGGACTCTGTCGATCTACTATTAAACGAGTTCTGTGGTTGGTATAGTGTATCGCTGCTACTTGAATCAGTATGAATTATGATATTTGCCAACGATTTGGACTGGTTCAACTTATTGTTGTTATAGTTTTTTAATCTACACTTTTTGTTCTCATCGGACTTACTACTTAGACGATCATCGACATAAGAGTAAGAGTTTTGAAGCGAATTCACGTGTTTTTCTTGCTCTCTAGTTTTCATTTGAACTCCCGAGCAACTTTTGGTGCACATGTGTGCTGGATCGAAACGTCTTTTTCGACACCCATTCACAATATTCACTTCATAATTTTCGTTGCGAGGTCTCTCTGAATTGGTGGGGATTTCGTCACTGACTTCCAAACTCTTTGTCCTCGCTGCTTGACGAGACCAGTCATTTCTCGTGAAAATAGTGGCTGCTGGTGTGACTTTTCCATCTTGTTTATTTTGTGATGACTCCCCCTGCTTTTTGTTTATCATTTGTCCATAAACATTTTCCGACGAACAATTGCTGTTTTTACTATTGTAACTAGTAGTTTTATTATCCCACCCGGAGTAAACGCGGGAGTAGTTCATATTAGAGTTCGCTGTTACTTCGGTGCGAGATTGGTATTGGTTCTGTCTTTGAATGTTTTCTGTGAACATTGCAAGGTCGTGTATATTGCTGTATACAATATTTTCTTGACTAGAAACCAAATCACGTTTGGTTTCTATCGAGTCCTGCTTTGATTCCAACAAATTGTCAGAACTTTTTGCTCTGTTAAAATTTTTGTTCGGTATATTTTTGTCTGTTTCTTGTGTTTCTGCAAACATACTGTAAACTTTTGATGTCCTTGCTGCCTTTGATATACTTCTTGGTGGTTTTTGTGGTTCTAGGCCAGTAATATACTTTGCTGGACATTGTCCATAAACGTCAGCCGTTGATCGTTGGAGTGCAGTTTTAGAAACATAGTTTCGTTCATCAATACCATTAGATATTCCAATGTTTATCGAATTATGCACGTAACGTTCTCCAGTGTATGGTGTGGTGTACAGTTCTTCGTTTACTGTACTGTACATTTCTGCTTTATTTGAATAAATATTTTGTCTTTGTGATACTTGAGGAAGACCATTAACGTTATGATTGTCGGTGTTATATCGTGAACTAAGTTTCGAGTCTTGTAGATTACAAGTCGGCGTTGAAAGACTATGTAAGATATTTCTAGGCGCAGGGCTATTTCCACCGTTGCTATTTGAGTCGTCTTCTGACAGGGTTAAACCTGAATCTCTACTTAGGGACAACTTTTCCTTGCGTGGTGTAGTAAGCTCCATAGAATCCAATGAAATGCCTACCGAATGTAGACTGTCACTTTCTTCAGCCCCTGAATCAAGTAGAGCATTTGAAGATTCAGGACTGCCGTTTCCAAGTAGACCACTAATCTGTGGTCCAAACAAAGCTTCAGCTTTCACTATAAGGAGTTCCACTACCATTGGCACTGCTTTTGGAGCTTTATCACAGGGCGCGTTAGGCCATAAAAGGCTGGGTCCAACACAAACACCGAGGTTCATAGGGCACATAAGGTTAATGTTGGACTTCTTTGCGATGGCTTGTAACAAGCATACGAAGTAGGTCAGCATGGTGTAATGAGCTTTAGGTAACTTTAGTAGCAAGGAGCGTACTACAGGCACCTTTTCTGCTTGTGACAACGCTGAAAAATAAATTGAAACAAAATTATAATACATATTAGGCATAAATTATTTTCTAAAAGGTAAACTGGTAAATGCAAAGATATTCGTATATATGAAATATGAACTACTCTTCGCAGCGTTTGTGTGTCAACATTTCTGAGTTGCCGGATTTAAATTCAGTTAAATGAATGTGGAAAAAATCCCAAGTAATAATAGTTTTGATTTGATTCCCTATTTTTAATAAAGCAATGAATATTCATTATCTAATAGTTACTGTCTATATGTTGTGTTTAAACGGTTACTTACTGAGTACTTGCAGCCAGGCCGGGTAGAGCTCCGCAGAAAGCAGTGGCTGTGGCAAAGCACGGAAGAACTCCTTCACTAAAGCTGCCAGAAGCAAAACTGGCGCACGCTCCAGTTCAGCGCACGATTCTGCCCAAGGGCCTAAGGCATCCATCTGAAATAATAAAACGTTGTCATGCGGGTAAACTGTGAGCAAAACGTAAGTACAGAGTTTGTTTATAACAGCATGCATAATGTACAATTTATCGGTGTATAATTTTTAAAAGTCGTTGTAATAAGCTTACCACTAAAAGTAATAATTATAATTAAGTTAAAGATAATAAATAAAAAGGTAAAAATATAGGGTATAATTTGTCACAAATTTATACCTTATCTCTCAGCAGCCGCAGTGCCTTCGCATTCGCGCTTCGGCGAAATACTCCGTGTGTTAGGGGAGCGACCACTCTTAAACGGGTGAGTGCTCGAAGCAATGCGGGTGGTGGTGTGCCATTACAAAGTCTTGTCAGGGCAACACCGAACAGACGTCCGCCACGACGCAGTAGACGTAACCCGCGTCCTGGCGTTCCACTACCGCTGAAAAAATAATACAAACATTATAATTCAGGACGTCTGTAGTAATATTTGACTAAAATGTATAAAATTGTTTTTCATATATGATATTTGTTCACAATTTGTATGCATAAAATAAGCCTTTAATACATTACTCGCTTCTTTGGTCCGTTTAACTCCTCGGCTAAGTAAGCCAAGTTCATAGGGCATTGAATAAACACTCGAACAAACTCACAAGAAAAGCTTTAAGTTCTTTTTGACTCGATCGCAAAAACCGACAATGATCAGGGTTACGACCGCCTGACTCTCTAGCCATGATTCTAGCCATAGGATACGACATGTTTTCAATGTTATAGCGATATTTCGTTTCATTTACTTTGATATGTACTTTAGTAACGACAGACGAACGTTACAGAATAATGATTATGAATTTGGTAGCATTGTTACCAACTTAGTCATTTATCCCAAATTTATTCAACAAAAGACATATCAAATAAGTAACATGAATCAAAATATCGTCATAACATCGCTAAGATGTCGTATCATAGGGCTAGAATCAAGGCTAGAGATTAGGGTGGTAGAAATTGAACGAGACATTTTTTCGTATATTATTTGTCAACTTCAATTACACTTTCACAAAGGTCAAGAAAACAGAGTACAAGTGTGTCCAGTGACACTCGATTTAATTTTTATAATCGTCCTAGGTGACTTCTAAAGTGACTTCCGACTGCTGTTGGTTTTCGAGACCGAGTCTTCCGACTGCTGTTGGTTTTCGAGACCGAGTCTAAGAATCAAACTTTATACTTATTGGCTTTCACGGTTTACATCAGTTTGCATCTCTTTTTGTGAGCAATTGAGCTCATTTTTTTCCAAAGCCGTACTTGTCACGTAGTTCTGACTTCGTGATAACTTCGCCAGTTGAGTAGTAGAGTTTTCAAACTATTTACATTATATTATTACGTATGTAACTTACTTTTTTATTCCTTGGTTTTTCTTTCTTAACTCGAAAACAAGTCCGCATGGATTATTCTTTGCGTTCACGTGTTCTAGGTCGAAACCATCTTCATTAGATAAAGTCTGTCTTATTCTTGACATCTAAAAGGAAAAAAAGTTTGAAAATTTAGAGATTTGTATGCAACATAAACTAACTGAGCGACCGCCTAACTCTCTTGCTATAATTCTAGCTATAGCTTACATTTCATTGATTTTATCAATGAGTTTTATCTATATTATAGAAAAATACCGGAACAACAAAAGATTATGGGTTCAATTCTTAATACCTGCGTGGAACTAACGAATTATGAAATTATTTTTCTAAATGACTTATGAATTAATAAATATTCTTAAAGACACCCAGGTTGTTATGTTCCGTAAACACAGTAGGTATTTCTTATGCCAAAAACAATTTGTTTTTATTATTAATAAATAATGTAGAATCACCTGTATTGAATGAGGTCTTTCAATCCCATGTAGGGGTGTCGGAGGTGAATCTCTTGTGGTCCTGACGAATAACGTGAATTCGTTAGCAGTTCCCCAACGACTGTCATCATTCTCTCCTTCTCCCTCTCCGTCACCATCTCCCTCATTACCTCCATTTTGAAATACGTTTAGTGCTTGTCGCACTACACATCGTGCACTCATTTCAGGTCCAATGGACACAGTTTTACACTGCAAATTAAACATATTTTATGAAGGAATGTAATAATAAAGATGTTGATTTAAATCTGATTGTTATTGCTAAAATACTTACGAATTCTATTGAACTTGTCAAATCTTTAAAAAATATCTGGATATTTGTTGACTTTGGTTCTGTTGCTAATAGTGTGTTTAAAGCATTCTGAATTTTTCTGGAAGAAAAAGTTTGTTTTGTAACATAATAACACTTTTAAATATTAATTTCAGCTTTAAGTAAAAAATTAACAGTGACTTCAACTGTACGAAAAACGCTTGTGACGTAACCTTCTAGATAGCGCTAGTAACAGAAAGGAGATACACTTTTTTAATTTAGAGCTTTGGAATAAAGCTTAAGTTTGGCCCTAATATTGACCGAGGACTGCCGGAGCACGTGTACTACTTTGTCTACTATTATCATGAAGAGACTATGCAGTAAAGTAGAATCGTGACAACGCAAAGTCAAGGTGATATTTCTTACCTATACCAAGTGTCTCTGGCAGCTTGTGTTGGGTATGTAGCGAGGTAATTAGCAACCCCTATAGTCGTCGGCCATCCAATAAGAAAGCCCGTGTCATCACTATCTGGCAATGATAGCCAAACTTCTGCCAATCTCACGCTCTCTTTTAGCTTAAAGCAATTTGTGCCTCGTGACTTCCCGACTAGCAATAGATCGCTGAATAGGAACAAATGACGTTCTAACGGTGGGGAAGTTGTTCCTAAAGGATTCAACTGGACGGGAGCCTCCATGATAAATGTTCTGGGCGACAACGAATTATTGTTAGTGGTGACGGTTCCACCGATGTCCAGGCTTGGCCGTTTGCGAAGACTTTTCGATTTCTGAAATGAGACAAAATTACATGTGATCAAAACAAAAAAGCCATAAAAGGGGTTTCAAATTGCATTATTACAAGATTCTCTAATGATCTATTGCAGTGTAGCGAAATTGATATTTTAATTATATCATTTAAGGGAGTCAATTTTACGCAATAAAAAAAAGAAGCATCGTTACTTAGTGGGCGGTTCGTGATCCTTGCCACAGCGTGACCAATAAGCGTTGAATTATACCTGAGCATGGTGTGAGGCAAGTGCGGCGGGTGCGTCGGCATCGTGGAGCGCCAGGTAGTCATGCGGGAACAGGTCTTGCACTCGCTCCAGGTCAGAAAGACGTGCGGCTCGTCTTCTCCCGCATCCACTCCCTACTAACCGTTCGTATTGAGCTAAGCGCTCGATCTAGACAAAAGGAAAATATTCATTAATACTTGATGCATTTAAACAAACTTTTAAAGACTCGAAAAATAATGAAAAACGTTAATCTAAAATAGGCTGGCATATGCAATTGCATCTAAGGGAATGGAAATATTGCTTAACGAGTTTATGTATTGCCGTAATGTAAATTGTCTAAAAACAATTTTTTATTTTCCTCTAGTGCTCTTTTCTTTTACCTACTTGAGCTAACGTGTTCCATATTGCATATATGATTGGATTTCTTAGTAGATAATGAATAATAAATAAGCGTTCAGACGGTCAATATGTTTTATTATGAGAAGGTTTAGATTAAAGGAACAGATAGGGAGAAAGGACTATGAATATAATGAGAAAGAATATATCCGCCCAGAAGCATTATACTTCATTACGAGAATCTATTGAAACGTAACGATCGTAATCTAAATTCTCGTCGCATCGTGCGTGCTTGCGTCCTTAGTGACTTCCCGGGCGCCTCACGGCTCCCTGAAGCGTGTCCACGACAGTCAAACCTTATTATTATAGAAGGACAAAGGACCGTGAGACCAAGGAGCCCTTGTATGCGATCAACACTTTAAAGTTGTTAACCGCTAATATTAAATGTATGTGAGCTACATTTGAGAATGTTATGGCACATAAGCCTTCATGAATATTAACCTAAGGAGTCACGTACGCCCGATTGCGACGGCGAATGTGCAGGGCGCCTGCGAATGCAATTTACGTTTATCTCAATATAACAGCGAGATGTAAATGACATTTAGTTTTTTTGTGTTAACGTGTTTACATTTTATAAAACATTTATTATGACAATTTAGTCATTAGAAAAGGTTTTATAGTTATCCAAATATGGCCTTAATTTAACAAGCACTCGAATTAATATTTTAAAGCTGTTTTATTTATAATAGCTGTTGTCCTACGACTAAGCCCGCGTTAATTATAGTGGCTTTAATTTATAGGCGTAAGAATTTTTAAAAACGGTCCAGTTATTGCGGAGCCTTTTCGATACAAACAAATTAACAATGAAATCTTTCAACTTTATGGTTTTCTTTAATATTATCTATGTCAATAATTTAAAGTCATGGCTCAAATAATAGACGGTGATGTTTGTGTGTGCAAAATTTATAGAATAATGCGCATTGATGATAATTTGTTGTACTGCACTCCAAACAAAAAAAAAAGATTAATCTACTTTATGCAAGAGATTTGCTACCATAGTAAGTTAATCTGGAGCTGATGACGTCGAGTTATTATAGTGTAAATAATTATACTCCGAAGCATGATTCTAATTTGAATGGACAGTCTGACACTGGCACCGTTATAAAAACAAATTTTGTGCACCGATTACATTAATACACAAGTACAGTGTTTGATAACAGTACATAAATACCATTAATTATAGTCGTTCTACGCGAGCGTTCGTGTATTTGCAGTCATATTTCAACATACCAATGTGATAGGTGTTAATGGTTGAGCACTTAAATAACTGTTGTACTGGACGTTAAATTATAAGAATATTTCTAGAGGTTGATTATATGATTGATTGTTTCTACTTAAAATAAATAACTAAAGGGAGTCGATAATTCGTTATAACAAAATAACATTTTAAAATTGTATGTAACGATATATATTTGTTATATGTTTATATTTTGTATTATTAATTTGATTGACGAAAATCTATTTAAGGTTTTTATTTGTTAATATATTTTGGAGTAAGATTTTAATTCAAAATATTATTAACTGCTTTTCGATACTTCACTCACCTAAATAACAGTCTATGTCTCTCCCATATATATATATATATATATATGAGTGAAAGATTTTTAGAAACGGTTCAAGTAGTTTCAGAGCCTATTCATTGAAAACAAACAAACAATCTAATCTTTTCACTTTACAATATATGTATAGACTACACAATAAAAAATACTCACATGCTCAGATTATATACACTCAATTGAGTAAACAAATAAAAGGTTTATAAGTATATCAACCATAGAGCAACATCTAAAAAAAATCTCATACAATAGAAGAAATAGGAATAACATAAGTAAGATTCAGGATTAGATTATCACAGATCGACGTTAAGTGGTTCAAATCTCTTCAAGGGTTGCTCGAAACAAAAAAAAATGTTCAAACGAAATCATCAATCTATGACGGGATAAAAAACTTTAAAGAAGAATATTTGTTAGCATAGAGCATTATTGTCACCTGCGCCTCACTTTAGCTCATTCCAGTGCAAGTACCACGAATTCTGGCAGAACAAATAACCACGTAAATGTTATCTTCGAACGTGTTACACGGAACTGCACTTTCTACGTCAAATATTTACGTTGGAGTAAGTTAATATGGCGACGTAAATTTTTAGATAACAACTGAACTGCCCTAAATATAAGATAAGGCATTGCGCGTGCGCCGCCGGTTCACTGCTGCCCGCGCTTTTTACGAATTATCTTTATCTAGCTCCCCCGTTTCCTGTTAGCGACCAAAGTAGAGATTTCAAATCGAGTTGTATAGTTAAACGCGTTTCTTCCATTAAACTTAGATACAGTATGTATAAGATATGTAGAGTGGACTCGGCCGTGTTCATAAGAACCCCGACGTCCTTATTAATGCGGACCTAAAGATTAAAATAAAAGAGGATATTCTAGAGTACCGATAAGAACTAAGCAACAGTCAGCAGAATGTATAATCTGAATGCGTAATCTATGTTACAATTAACGTAATGTTGCTAACAGTGCTGTTAGCAACATTAATGTTAGACAAGACATGTGAGAGGAAATGTATCTTAATTGTTTCGATGATAAAATTATAAACGCCTTTATTAGACATTATGAAAATATTTTGACATACTATGGCTTAACTGTATGTTAATTACAAATATAAAAATATTTTGTCCAAAAAAGACGACGGAAAATTAAGTTTCGTTTATAAAATATTAAAAGTTTTAAAACCTGGATGAATTTTAGCAAGATTGACTCGGATATATATAATTATATTGTTGGGTCATAAAAGTCAGAAAATTCGTCAGCAATTTTTTTTCTGTGTATACTATAAGAAAGCCGATACTATAATAATAGTTGCGTATTGTGCTACAAATATGGTAAAGTTATGCAATCATTTGCTTTGTCATCGCGATTAATCAATCAGTTATTGAAAATTTGATTGATGATTTAGTATTAACTGATGATGTGCGCACGAGTTGTTTGCATGTTTTTATATCCATTGAGTATAATCATACTTAACCGACCAAATAATATATTGGAGAAAGAATTGACATACCTTTTTACTTGACTTACGATTTGGGTCATGATAATTAATATATATTTTTGCCAATTAAATTTGTTTTTGTCAGTATTTCCGCAGTTTCGCAAATATGTTTATAATAATAGTTTAGAAAGACAACATGGATCCGAAGTAAGACAACAGCAACACAATGCTAAGAAAAAAAACAAAGGTATTCGAAGTGATGTTGCACCTTTTTTAAACAAACTTGAATAAAAAAAGGAAAGAGCATAGGTGGTTTCCACAAACGTAATTAAATCCCTCTGGATTATCCCTGAAAGTGAACAGGATAATAAAATAATAGATTCTACTTCTCGACTCATAGAAAAAACGTATTAACTACGGTTAACAATAAACACTTGATTTAAAAAAATATAAAGAATTTTTAGTAATAATTGATCTCATTCACAAAACTATGTATATATATATATATATATATATATTATATATATATATATATATATATATACCATTTCCTACTTTATTTGTAGCTGAAAAAGAAACATGTTATATTGTAATCCAGCAGACTTTTTTGTTATACTACGCATAGGTATGTATATGTTGTATATATGTTTAGGGAACTTAAAAATCTAACATTTAGACCTAGGATAACATGAAAATTTGTTTGTTTGCAGCTCCGGCCTAAAATAATAGATAACTATAAATAAATAACTATGCAATCAAGTCTGCACGACAGCTTACAATAAGTCTTTCTTCAGGCGATTTTAAACTTTACGCTCAAAATAAGGTTTTAAGTTAGGAGGAAAAATATGACGTATTTGTATAATCTGAAAATAATGAACTATATTTTTGAAAAAAAAATCCTGACAGTTTAATTTCATGCGTTTCATTCTCATTAAGTGTACAAGTAGTTAATGGTTTTCAGTTGTTTATTATTACACGGATGGTGGCTCCGTATACCCACGCAAATGCAAAACAATGAGTATTCGCCTCCCGAGCGTTGTATTCGGGACAGTAAAATTGATTGCATCGACACATAATGTGCATTACCAGTAGAATGGACGTAATTATCCAATGAGAACATTTCATTCGCAATAAAGCTTTCGAGGCGCCATAATCACTTTAAATTAATGCTTGACATTGGTTTTAAGTTAAATTTACTTGAGGTTTTATTAACGGTACGTTATGTCGTCTGGTATTCGGTACACTTACATGTTCTCGGAATGCTGTGATGATTCACTTGGATCTCTTGCAGAACGCTGACATGTCGGAAATAAGAGACTAGTAGGTACATTGTAAGCAACACAGCCAAAACCATTACCATATAGGTGTTATATTTTCAATTTAATAGCGGCCTGCCGCAACTTATATTTAGGTACAGTACTAAATCATGCATAGATTTTTAAAACTGACAAGCTGAAACTATGATGATGTTGTGTGCGCTATAAATCTTATCACGGTGACATCTTTAGAAGGTCAGCACACAGCGGGTTCATCTCTTATTGTAAGTCGATGCGGCGAAATGACGACTCATCCCTGGTGAAAACAAGATGATCGTCGATTAGTAATAACCATTTCACTTTTGGATGAATACCATTTAGTAAAAGTAATATGTTTACCTACACGTTAAAAGGTCAGGGTATGAAATATTATATGAATTCATTGAACTATTGATGTATTCGCACCGTTTAAGATGAGAGAAACCATAAAAGAAAGTCAACTAGAACCTTATTAATAACACAACAGCA